GAGAGATGCCCAATAGACCTGGATGGAAAATAAAACTGAATTAATCAGTTGTACTCGTCCTGCATACGAGAGTGTTCTACAAGTCCAATGTCGAACTTTAGAGGTGATTCGATCCACGAGACCCTTGCAATAAACAGCCTTTAGTCTGGACGAGATAAGAGGCACTCCCAAATATTTCATAGGGAGCTCCCCCTCTGCAAACCCAAGAACATGAATAATCTTTTCCCTCTCAGCATTTAACACATCGCTTAAGAATATGCCACTTTTATTTGGATTTGGATACAGACCTGATAGGTCTTGAAACTTTGTGAGCACAGTTTTGATCATACGAATTGAGTTTACATCTCCTTTGCTAAAAATCATCAAGTCGTCAGTAAAACAAAGATGAGAAATGTTGTCCTTCTTGCATCTCCAGTGGAACTTGAAGTTTTGGTTGGCACTCATCTTGCAGAATAGCCTCGAAAGGATTTCCATACATAGGACAAACAAATATGGAGAAAGTGGATCCCCTTGTCGCAGCCCTCTCCCCCCTTGAAAATAACCTGCAAGCTCACCATTGACGTTGATAGAGAATTGACATGATGTAACACAAACCATAATCCAATCAATGACTGTTCTAGGGAATCCCATTTTTCTTAACGTAGCGTCAACGAAATCCCACCGAACCGAGTCATAAGCCTTCATCAGATCTACTTTCATAGCACAACGGGCAGGTCCCGTAGATTTATGATAGCCTTTCATTAGTTCCTGAGACAAAAGAATGTTGTCGCTGATTCTCCGTCCAGAGATAAAAGCTGTCTGATACGGACCTACTAAGGATGGGTAAACAGCTTTGATTCTCCCAGCTAGAATCTTAAAAATGCATTTGTACACGGTATTGCAGCAAGATATAGGACGAAAATCTGTCAACCTCGTAGGATTGGCAACTTTAGGAATAAGGGAAATGGATGTAGCATTCATTTCCTTAAGCATTCTCCGAGTCTGAAAGAAGGAGCTAACAGCGTTGATTACATCTTCCCCAACTATGTGCCACATTCTTTTGAAGAAACCTGCGTTAAATCCATCCGGACCAGGGGCTTTGTTGTTCTTCAAACTAAACATAGCATGCTTAATCTCCTCCCTTGTTACATCATGTGCTAATACATGTTGTTGCGTGGAAGACAGTTTCAAGTTAATTGCCGATTCCATCTCTTCCTCATTCAGAACCCTAGGCATCTGTTCCACTCTTAACACACGCTGGAAGTACGCAACGACTTCTGATTTAACTGCCTCATGTCCTTCGACAACCTCTCCATCCTCCTTTGTAAGTGAAAGAAGTTTATTTCTATGCTGTCTTCCATTTACTGATTTGTGAAAGTAGCCAGTATTCTGATCCCCCAAGCTAAGTCACTGTATCCTTGACTTCTGTTTGAAAAAACTCTCTTCGGCTTTGACGATAGAAGCGTAGTTACGTACAGCATCCCTTTCTCGCATGCACAAAGTTGGATTCCCATGTGCTGTATGGAGAGCCTGTTGAGCCTTATCCATTTCATCTTTTGCATCTTTGACTCTATCTGAAATGTTGGAGAAGTGAGTCATATTGAAAAGTTTCAATTCCCATTTTATATTCTGATAATCACCAGTAACCTTTACCACCATAGGAGAATGGTCTGACATACCTGATGGCAAAAATCTCGCTTCTGAAAAGGGGAAGTTCAGATTCCATTTCTCATTGACAAGCACTCTATCTAGTTTCCGCATAATCAGATTCTCAGGACATTGGTTCGACCAAGTATAATGCAGGCCTGAATATCGAAGATCATCCACTTTCGCTTCTTGAATACATGTTTCCAATCTGTCCATATGACCAGCCCACGAAGTAGACCCTCCTAACCTGTCTGATTGGTAGCGGATAGCATTAAAGTCGCCCATAAGAATCCATGGGCTGGACTCCCATCCATCACTACGACTCACTATATCAGACCATAATGCCTCACGGAAGGAAGCGTTATTGTCTCCGTAAATAATTGAAGCATTGAAACAGATATTGGTAGCTAATATAGTGATAGAAACATGAATAGCCTGGTTTGACATTCCGAGGACATCAACCTTCACCACATCAGCATTCCAACAAACCCAAATACGACCACGACAAGAGAAATCATAATTATACAAGAAGGACCAATTACGCAGAAGAAGTTGAGAAACATTATATTTATTCTCGTCTCTAACCCGAGTTTCAACCAAACCGAAAAGAGTCATCCTCTCTTGATGGATGAGCTGACGCAATGCTGAATGCTTTATGGGATCATTCAAACCTCTTACATTCCAACATCCAATAATCATAAGAAAATAGAGAGGAGTACAAACAGCAACACAAAGATTACCTCGACGTGCCCCCAGGCGAGGAGACAGATTTCTTATTCTTCTTTGAAGAGTTTTTCAAACCCTTTTTCTTTTTCTCTAGAGAGTCTCTAGCCTTAATAGCCAACTGATTAACAGTTTCCCTTTCGGTGGAATTCAGAGTTTGTGGGCTCGTCGGGATTGGTGACGTCCACTCCTTATCAGTTCGTTCCCCATCTGTATCACCTCCCATTGCTTCAATATCTACATTCAGCTCATGACTATTAACGAAAAGAACCTGGTTCATGGTCGCACAATCAGATGTATTGGAGATGGCTAAACTTTGATCTGAAGCAGTACATGTACCCCCCTACTCCTGCTTCATGTCTCCTTGTGAACTCTTCAAAACAAGAGGAGATGTAGGATTTTCATTTTCATAACAATCAGCATTTCTCACATCTGATGCAGCCTTCTCATTCATATTACAATCAGAAATATTTGTACCAGATGTTGAACAACCATTCTCATTATAGTTACGCACTTTAGATGCCAAAGGACCAGTCTCGCCACTCACAGAACCCTTATTTCGTTTAGCAACTACCTGCCATTAAAACTGATTCTGCTGTTTATCCGTAGATTTAGAGTTCGCAGCTCCTAGTTTCCTCTTACCCTCTGCCTCCATTGTAAGATTTTCACCGTTATTAGTAGCACATATCGCTGTCGTGTGTCCAAAGACATTACAATTATTGCACTTCGATGGTATCCATTCGTAATCAGCTGAAATTGTTATGAATAACCCATTTGGACAGCGAAGGTCGTATTCCTTAACCAGCGTCTTCGTAGCATCAATCTCAACACAAACTCTTGCGTAGTTAAGCCTTTGACGCAACAATGTAGTCTGATCAGCATGGAGAGGAACCCCAATAGCACTCGCTACACAACTCAACCCCTTAATAGTCCAATACTCAAGAGGAACATTATACAGCCTAACCCATACCGGAACTTTGACCAAATCACCTTTCAAAAATTGCATGTTCGGTTGCCAACGTTTAAGCACCAAAGGTCTGCTTGCCATGTGCCATGGGGCTCTTTCCAGCACATTAGTGGCATGATCAACAGAATCAAAAGTGAATAGGAAGAAACCATTATCCGAAGATAAAAATTCTGATAGACCGTAGGATCCCCAGATTCTTTTGGCAATAGAATTAACAACGGGATATGATAATTTCTGACCCACAAAATGACCAACTAGGGTGGATTTCCAAAGTTCGCAGCCATCCTCAAACACATCAAGTGGAGGAGCGACTGTCACACGACCATCAGTCATAGCAGGGGGAGCAAAATGCAGATTACGAACTAGAGAAATACCAAGGTTCTTGCTACCCTCATTGTTATCAACATCAGAACCCTTCAAAGCATTTAAAAAATTCAATTTGGGGCGAAGGCTTTGCTGGTCTTGTTTCTGAGACCCTACCTTCAACTCATCAACTTTAGAACCCAACATATGATTCATTTCTGAAATAACATTAAAAGCTTGGGAATTAGAGTGTTTCTTCTCTATGCTAGATTCAGAATCAGCTTGATTAACACTAGTAAACTGAGAAATCCTCATCCCATGGCTGTTCAACATATCTTGTAGCTCTAATCTTAATATATGTCCAGACTTGACTTCATTGTGTTGTTCATTGTTAGAGGTAACCATTGGAACAGAATCCACAGCAGAACATAAGGACATTATGGCAGCATACAAATACTAGAGATACCAAATTCTAAGAAGAGAAACTGAGTCTAAGACGTAACCTAAGCTCAGAAACAACAACAATGTAATCTCAAAAACAACAAGATTCAGATTTGTTCATGAAGGGAGAAGAGAATTACAGAATTACGAGGCCAGTATCTTCGCGATTATTGATTGGAATGATGATCCGTGCGGTCAAGCTGTAGAGTATGTTCTGACGAACAACATACTAACAAATGGTGACGATCCAACGGGGAACAAAGAAGATCAAGATTCAACAAAACCCAATTCACGCTGCTGCAACTAAAAATGCAGAACAGTAGAAATATTACGAGATCAATATCTCCCACCTCGTTGATTGGAACGAAGATCCATTCGGTCAATGTTTCTAGAAGGCTAGAATGAACAGCATAGTAAGAAATGAGGATGATCCAACGGTGGACGGAGTAGATCTAGCTCCGACAGTTTGATCTCTAATCTCTCTCTCTCTCCAGATCTCTCTCTCTAATCTCTTGACTCCTATGACAGAATGCTTCATTCACCACCATAAGGTTTGAGCAATTTATGACAACGTTTGATATACTGACGTAAAAACGTTATGAATCAGACCTAGATCAAAAATGTCATCAAAATACACAACAACAAACTTACCTATAAATGCACGCAAGACATGATTCATTAAACGCATAAACGTGCTAGGCGCATTTGTAAGTCCAAACGGCATGACTAACCATTCATATAAACCATGCTTAGTCTTAAATGCAGTTTTCCACTCATCACCCTCTTTCATCCTAATTTGATGGTACCCACTTTTTAAGTCAATCTTAGAGAAAATATATGATCCATGTAACTCATCTAGCATGTCATCAAGCCTAGGAATAGGATGTCGATACTTTACCGTTATGTTATTGACAGCACGACAATCAACACACATCCTCCATGTTCCATCCTTTTTAGGCACAAGTAGCACTGGCACAGCACAAGGACTCATACTCTCATGAATGTACCCCTTCATCATCAACTCATCTACTTGCCTTTGAAGCTCCTTCGTCTCCTCGGGGTTGCTTCTATAGGCTGGACGGTTAGGAATTGAAGCTCCGGGCACAAGATCAATTTGATGTTCAATCCCCCTTAATGGTGGTAATCCATTAGGGATGTCTTCAGGGAATACATCATCAAACTCCTGCATCAAAGAAACAGCCACACTAGGAATAGCAGAATCAAGATCGTTAGTGTTAAAATAAGCCTCCTTATACACAAGTAAGATCATTGGCTTATTATTAAAAAATGCAGATCTGATTTGAGATCCTTTTGCATAAAAATTAGGTTGTTTCTTTAATTTTTCCACACTATTATCATCACACAAGCTTACTTTCTTCACTCCTCGGTTTTTACCTCCACTCTCAACCGGTTTAATTAATGATTTAGGTTTAGCCGAATCTGATGGTTTTCTCTCACCATTGTCCTCACGTGAATTTTCACTCTTCCCATCCTCACATTTCTTTTTTAATTTGATTTGATCATCATACACTTGTTTCGGAGAAAGAGGTACAAGAGTGATGGTTTTACCATCCTTTACAATAGTGAACCTATTTATGAACCCATCATGAATCGCTTTCCGATCAAACTGCCATGGACGCCCCAAAAGTAAGTGACTAGCATGCATCGGGACGACATCACATAAAATCTCATCAGAATACTTCCCAATAGCAAACGCAATCAAAACCTGCTTAGTAACCCTCACTTCACCACATTCATTCAACCATTGCAATCTATAAGGCCTAGGATGCTTAATACAACTCAGATTCAATTTCTTCACAAGTGTATCACTAGCAACATTAGCACAACTACCTCCATCAATTATCATGCTACATACCTTGTTTTGGATGTGACATCGAGTGTGAAATATATTTTCCCGTTGCTGATCTACATCATCTTCTTTGATTTGCATGTTCAGCGCACGTCTTATAACCAAAGCCTCCCCCTCAACAGGGTATGCAATCTCCTCATCGCTACAATCCATCAAAGGTGGCATCTCTTCACTTTCAGATTTCTCACTTTCAGATTCAACATCCCCATTATCTCTTATAAGCATAACTCTTCGGTTTGGACACTGAGATGCAATGTGCCCCTTCCCTAAACATTTAAAGCATTTAATATCTCTATCACGAGTAGGTTGAGATTCAGATTTACCTTTCCCATCCGTATAAGTATCCTTTTTGGCCTTAGGTGGTTCAGCCTTTGCATAAGGCTTTGGTTGGACAGCCCCCTCTCTTTTCAAATTCAGCCTCCATGTTGAGGAAGATGAAGCCGAATTGGTCTGAAAACGTGTACTGCCCCTTCTCTTTATTTGTCTCTCTACCTTCGTTGCCATATGGACCATGTCTTCCAATTCCACACAGTGTTGTAATTCTACAACATTTGCAATGTCCCTATTCAGTCCATTTAGAAACCTAGCCATAGTAGCTTCCCGATCCTCAATCACGTTGGCCCGAATCATGGCAATCTCCATTTCCTTGAAATACTCATCCACGGACCTAGAACCCTGATTCAAACCCTGCAATTTCAGATACAAATCTCTATAATAGTGGTTAGGCACAAATCGCCTTCTCATCAACACTTTCATCTCCTCCCACGACGCTACCGGCCTCTCTCCACTCCGTCTTCTACTAGTAACATTCTGATCCCAACAAATCAGTGCATAATCCATGAATTCGATGACTACCAATTTCACTTTCTTCGCCTCCGAATAGTTATGGCAATCAAAAATCCAATCCACCTTTTTTTCCCACTCCAAATATGCCTCGGTATCGTTTTTACCTTGAAAAGAAGGTATTTTCAGTTTGATAGCATCCAAATCACCATCTAAATCAGCATGTCCCCCAACACTACGGAAATTTTCCCTTTGGCCGAATTGGCCCCTAGTTCTATTCCCATAATCCCTTCGGTTTCTAGGCTGCCGAAAACCTTCCTGGTAGTCTATGGCCTCATCATCAAAAACACCATCACCGATATCACCAACAGCCTCCTCAAAATCCTCACAATCAGCCCACCTTGTTGGCCTGTTGGCCCTACTGCTATTGTTTGCTTTCGGTTCCACCCCAAGTGATGTGCATCATGGGAATGATAATCCATCTCGTAAAGGTAAATCAAATATGCAAGAGGATTCAGATGGTCCAATGACAAGAGCGAGAGCGAAACAACTACAAAGGACCTTGACGAGTCAGATTGGAATGATTGAAGCTGCGTCGGAGTTAAAATTTGGCAATCAGTTTCAAATTGGTTCAAGGGTGCTTATTTGCCTACAATTGGAGCTTAAAGATGGGAAGAGCCCTTAATGGTTCTTTTGATGCTGGACTACTTGAATTTGGGTTGATAATGCTAATAAGTTAAGAAATTGATGCTGTTTACGTCAGAACAGTAGATAAATTTGAACCCGAATTTGAAGTCATCCATTGCATGTGAAAACAAGACTAATCTAGGTGGATTTCAAGTTTAGAACGTGATCTTTCCAGATTGTCCAACCATGATTGCATTGGACTTTTGTGCAAGAAGTTATAGCCATTTTAAATTCGGTCTGTTTATGTTTCAATTAAAGTCAGAAAATATGTGCTAGTGTAATTTGTCTGGTTACTTTGTCAAAGTCCAAGTTTTGGGCTTGATTTCTGTCATGTTGAATTTTCCTAAGTATGGAGGGATGTTCCATTATAAATATGGCATCAGAATATGTAATAAAGAACTTTTGGCCAATATTTGAACTTAATTCCGAGAATTAAGAGTTATTCTTCCAAATTGATTTGTGAAGAACCCTACCTGACTTATCACTCTTCAATCACAAAGAGTGTGGTGTCAAAATCCTAGATTGATCTTTGTGGCGTCCGGATCGACTTATTAAAGTATCACTCTAGTTTATCCTCCATTTTTATTTACCTTAAAAATACTGTAATCTAGCCTAAACACCAGAAGAAAGACAATACAACCAGACCCATCCTTCATCCATTTTTCATCAGATTCATTGTTGCCGATTTTTGAGTCATTCACGGCACAACATCTGGTATCAGAGCATCAGTTGCGATCTAAGGCAAGAGCCAGAAATAGAAGAAAGGCTTGCAGGAATTGAGGTTGATAAACTTAATTATGGCTGCAGATAAAGAAGATTTGCCAAGAGGGTTAAGTTTAGAACAGGCACAGGTTATGGGATTACAACGATCTCATGCTGAGATTCGGGATGAAATGATCGGAATTCGTGAACAGTTGCATACCCTCATGCAAATGATGCAAAGAAATAATTTGCAACCCCAGCAGAGGCAAGCACTTAGGGTGCCACGAAATGATTTTGTAGAAGCTGATGGAGATCCAAATGGGGATGATGAGGCCGATGACAGGGGCAGACCAAGAAGTCAGAATAATAATCCTCCCAGGTAGTTGTGATTGTGGCTCACATCTTTCCTTGGTTTTACGTCCAAGAACGGCTTAAACGCCCTCTATGGGTCGAGGATAGGTTTCCCATCCAGTGTTCTTAAAAACTGGCAAACAGGGTCTTTTTTATTCAGATTCCCAAGACTAAGTCGATCATGTTCTTTATGAAATAGTGGCCATAAATCATGAATTACACGATGCACATCTCCACTAGGATGCGTCTCAAGAGTCAATAGAAGATTATCTAAAGACTCCTTACTCAAGCCATCCTTAATGAATTGTATTTTATCTTCACGGTTTATAGACATTGTGTATTACAAGTCCATCTAGCACATCGATGACAGACTTTCAGTTGTTTTGCACGACATTTCTTTGAAGTTAGAGGACTCACCTGATAATCGGACCTTTGCTTCAATCAACCAGCGAATATCTTCAGGAATTCCATGATTCATTAATAATCTCAATCTTGCACATCTAGCACCCATGATTCATTAACAATCTCAATCTTGCACATCTAGCACGGTAAATTTTTGTAATCGCATTCTGAGGCAGAGCGGGAAAATACTTTTTCAATGTTTCAAGATTAGTGTCCATTTTCAAATGAGAATTGGAAGAGAGATTCAAAGAATTGCACAAATATATACACAGATATCAGTAATTGTGGGAAACTGAAAGAACCGACTTAAGTCACGGAGTACCGTTATCCGTCATTTGACCGGGGTGAGAGAAACTAGCAAAAATCACTCAAAAAGAAACACAAAAACAATGTGAGAAAAAAAAAATAATCAACCTTTATCTACAAAATCATTCAAACCAGTTGATTCGTTTTCATTAAGAAAATTATCAAAGTGAGCTTTCAAACGATGTCCATTTTCCTTAAAATCATTGTCATTCATTGAATTCTCAATATCACAGGCCCCATAAGGATTGGTCCATCTTAATCTTAGCTCTTTAGAGAGTCCATAGAGTTGAGAATCATAAAACAAAACTTTTTGACCAGTATCAATCTTTTGACAATTTTCACAAGTTTTGCAGAATGCATGCGTGTCCTTGAACATGATGGGCCAATAAAATCCATTTTGAAAGATTTTTGCAATTGTATTTTTTGACGAGAAACAACTTCCACATGCTTCAGAATGACAAAATTTAATGACACTACTTACCTCATTGTCGGGAATGAATCTTTGAAATATTTGATCAGGACAATATTTGAATAAGTTAGGGTCATCACAGTAAAAGCTCTTCACTTCGTTCAAAAACTTTTCTTTGTCTTGATTACTCCAATCAGCTGGCAAATCTCCTAAAGCAAGAAAATTAATATTTTTATCATACCAAGGCATTGGACTAAGAGAAAGTAAGGATTCGTTAGGAAAGTAATCATCGATTGGTGTGATGTCAGATGTCGAATCTGTTCTCACTGTTGACAAAAGATTCGCATCAACCTTTTCGATGCCTTTTTCATCCTCGATTTCTTCCTGATTGGTCATGGCATGAGAAAATGGAAGTGCTGGCAGAGAATCAGTCGTTTCTTTGCAATTTTTAGATTCATCCCCTTCCTTACCCTCAGAGATTGACTCATCATCTTTCTCATAAGGTTCAAGAGAGGGTTTTTCAATAACCTTACCACTGCGCAGAGTAGTGACTGATTTGATTTGATCCATATGCTGGCTTTCGGAACTACTTGCATTTGCATTGTATTGCCCCTTGGGATTTTGTTGCGGTTGAGATGGAAACTTACCTTTCTCTTGGAAACTGAGAGCAGATGTTAATTTAGCAAGAGTATCTTTAAAATCTGTCATGTTTTGAGCAAGTTGAGTATTGATTGTCTCTTGCTTTTCAATGAATGCAAGCAATGTTTCCTCAAGATTTCTTCTAGGAGGTGGAGCATAAGGAGATGCATATCCATGAGAATTTTGGAAATTGTGGTGTGCTTGAAACGGTGGTTGTGAAGTTTGTGCATTGTTGTTCTCACTCTTCCAATTGAAATTAGGGTGATTTCTCCAACCAGGGTTGTATGTTTGGGAGTATGGGTTGTGGTTGGCCCTTTGAAAACTGTTTAAAGCATGGGCTTGTTCATGGAGACATTCTTTAAAAACTGTTTATAGCATGGGCTTGTTCATGGAGACATTCTTTAAAAGAAGGCAAGGTTGGACAATCATTGGCTGAGTGTTTATTTGTTTCACAGATTTGACACACAATGTTTTCAACAGATTTTAATTGACCACTCTTTTTCAATTCTAGTGCCTCGACTTTTCTAGCTAAAGATGCAAACTTGGCTTGAAGGTCATGATCTTCCCTAAGGTTGTACATACCTCCATTAGATGTATGAGGTTGAGTTTTACTCGGTGCCTCATAAGTACCCGCGGTGTCCCAATTTTGAGCATTTTCAGCTAACAAGTCTAAGTACTCCATTGCTTCATCAGGGTCTTTATCTTCAAAAGTTCCATTGCACATCAATTCAACCATTTGTCTATCTTTAGGTGTTAACCCTTCATAGAAATGTGAAACCAATCTCCATCTTTCAAAACCATGATGAGGGCAAGTACTAAGCAAGTCTCGATACCTATCCCAACATTGGTAAAATGTTTCTCCTGGTTTTTGAGTGAAAGTGGTGATTTGTCTCTTGAAAGAGTTTGTTTTATGAGATGGGAAAAACTTCTTTAAAAACTGTTGTTGCATTTCATCCCAAGCACGAATGGATCTTGGTCTTAAATTTTGTAGCCATGTTTTAGCTTTATCTTTTAATGAAAAAGGGAAAAGCTTTAATCTGATGGTGTTCATGCTACAATTTAAGTTATTATATGTGTTGCACACCTCCTCAAATTCCCTTAAATGCAAGTATGGATTTTCCAATTCTAAGCCATGAAAAGAAGGTAAAAGTTGAATAATACCTGGTTTAAAATTAAAATGAGATGCATCGGGAGGAAAAACTATGCATGATGGTGCACTTGTTCTTGTGGGATTCATGTGGTCTCTAAGTGTTCTAGCACGGTTATTCTCATTATTTTCATTATGAAGTGATTGATTATCTTCTTCAGCCATATTTTCTGAAAATGATGAGGATACCCTACAAAGTCTACCACTTGATATACGTGACCACATTCTCATGCACGTGTTGGAACAGAATAAAAAGAAGAAGAAAACAAAAGAAGAAGAAACAAGAGAAAAGAAATAAAGTTATATACAAGAAAAGTGAAAAGTGAAAAGAGAAAATAAAATAAATATTATAATTTATACAAGAACTTACCTCCCCGGCAACGGCGCCATAAACTTGACACGACTAAAAGATTGATGTCTTCTCCCAAGTGCAGGAGTGTCGAAGTAATA